ATAATTTTTCCAGAACGATTTGAAATTTTTGAATTTAATTGTTAATAACTTTTTAACGAAGCTTCCATCAACAAATTAGTATTCTTGATTTTCGTCTTATTTTGGCCTCTACTATCGCTCATTAAAATTTTTGCTAGAGGTGGCCGAACACCCTGTATATTTTGGAAACTATAGCTATGCAACGGTTAAATGCATTTAAAAAATTTGTTTAGAATGTCGGGTGAAATATATTTGAAAATCATCGAAATAGGTGAGGTGTCCCCTAATTATCGCAACAAGTTCTTCGAATGCGGAATTCCCCCCTAGACTCCCAGTAGACCCCTAAAGACAGTGCCAACGTGTCGATACCCTTTGTATTAATACAGGGTGTTCGGCCATCGCTGGGTAAAATTTTAATACGAGATTCTAGAGGCCAAAATAAGACCAAAATCAAGAATACCAATTTGTTAATTGAGGTTTCATTAAAAAGTTATTAACGTTCAAAGTTCCGCATGTAGAACGGCAATTTGCCAACCTATTTGTATTTTTTTCTCGAAAGTGCGTAAGAATTCGGGGGTATATCTGTTGACCAAAAATGTTTGTAATTGACCCCTGCATCCGACAATAATTTTTTCAGAATTATTTGAAGTATTTTAATTTCGCCGAAAAGTTTGTCTTTCTATTCGAATTTTTTTCTCGAAAGTGCGTAGGATTTCGTGAGTATGACTCTTAACCGAAAATGATTGTAATTGTCTCTCGCATACGAAAATAATTTTTTCAGGATGATTTGAATTATTTTAATTTCGCCGAAAAATTTGTCTTCCAATTCGAATTTTTTTCTCGAAAGTGCGTAGGATTTCGAGGGTATGGTTCTTAACCAAAAATGATTGTAATTGAACCCCGCATCCGACAATAATTTTTTCAGAATAATTTGAAGTATTCTAATTTCGCCGAAAAATTTGTTGTCCTATTCGAATTTTTTTCTCGAAAGTGCGTAGGAATTCGGGGGTATGTCTCTTAACCAAAAATGTTTGTAATTGACCCACGCATCCGAAAATAATTTTTCCAAAATGATTTGAAGTACTTTAATTTCGCCGAAAAATTTGTCTTCCAATTCGAATTTTTTTCTCGAAAGTGCGTAGGATTTCGAGGGTATGGTTCTTAACCAAAAATGATTGTAATTGAACCCCGCATCCGAAAATAATTTTTCCAGAATCATTTGAAGTATTTTAATTTCGCCGAAAAATTTGTCTTTCTATTCGAATTTTTTTCTCGAAAGTGCGTAGGATTTCGGGGGTATGTCTCTTAACCAAAAATGTTTGTAATTGACCCACGCATCCGAAAATAATTTTTCCAAAATGATTTGAAGTACTTTAATTTCGCCGAAAAATTTGTCTTCCAATTCGAATTTTTTTCTCGAAAGTGCGTAGGATTTCGAGGGTATGGTTCTTAACCAAAAATGATTGTAATTGAACCCCGCATCCGAAAATAATTTTTCCAGAATCATTTGAAGTATTTTAATTTCGCCGAAAAATTTGTCTTTCTATTCGAATTTTTTTCTCGAAAGTGCGTAGGATTTCGAGGGTATGTCTCTTAACCAAAAATGATTGTAATTGAACCCCGCATCCGAAAATAATTTTTCCAGAATCATTTGAAGTATTTTAATTTCGCCGAAAAATTTGTCTTTCTATTCGAATTTTTTTCTCGAAAGTGCGTAGGAATTCGGGGGTATGTCTCTTAACCAAAAATGTTTGTAATTGACCCACGCATCCGAAAATAATTTTTCCAAAATGATTTGAAGTACTTTAATTTCGCCGAAAAATTTGTCTTCCAATTCGAATTTTTTTCTCGAAAGTGCGTAGGATTTCGAGGGTATGGTTCTTAACCAAAAATGATTGTAATTGAACCCTGCATCCGAAAATAATTTTTCCAGAATCATTTGAAGTATTTTAATTTCGCCGAAAAATTTGTCTTTCTATTTGAATTTTTTTCTCGAAAGTGCGTAGGATTTCGAGGGTATGTCTCTTAACCAAAAATGATTGTAATTGACCCTCGCATCTGAAAATAATTTTTCCAGAATGATTTAAAATGTTTTTTTTTCATCGAAAAGTATCAATAGAATGTTCAGACACATTTTCGGTAATGAATTTTTTCCTCGAAAATGCGTAGGAATTCGGGAGTATGTCTATTCGCGAGAAATGGTTGTAATTGACCCCTGCTACCGAAAATAATTTTTCCGCTAATGATTTGAAATTTTATAATTTCATTTTTGACTAACTTTTTAACGAAGCTTCAATCAGCAAATTGGTATTTTTGATTTTCGTCTTATTTTGGCTTGTACAATCTCCCATTAAAAGTTCTTTTCCCAAGGGTGGTCGAACACCCTGTATAGAGTATATCCAATTACTGATTGTAAGCTAGCTATAACTGTCTTCTAAACGAGGTTGCAACAAAATGATGTGTATTTCTGTAAAGATTTTTTCACAGATGGATCAGTGGTACATTTGCAAATTGCAGTGACACTTTTTCTTAAACGAAGCTTATTAATTTTTGTACATACAATCAATTCCTTGAACAATATTGTGCATGAAAAGTTCTGTTGTATAATATTATAACATTACTTAAGACCTTGTAACTTTAGAAATTGTTTAAATTTAAATATTTAGTTTTAACTACATATTCCTTCAATTTAAAAAAAAAATCGTGAAATGATGAAGAATTTTTTAATTTTGATTCGATGGAAACTTTGAAAAAAATTACATTTTTTTAAATTTTATGATTTTTCAATATATTAACACTAGAACTACCGACGATCATAGTGAATTTATTTGTACCAAAGAAATTAAAACGATAGATACATGAAAAAATATATGATGCAATGGAAATAAATGTATATTCATTCTCTTAAATAGAAAATTACAGTAAACTTTCAAAAGTTCAGTCGAATAAATTTTTTACAAGTCTTATTAGAAATTACGAATGGGTCATTTTGACTGCTTTGGTAATTCTAGTAAGAATGTGTAGTTAAAAGGAAATTTTGACAAGTAATTTTTACACGCAGAGTGACTCAAAGATCGATGCATGCAAAGAAAGTCAATAAATGCATAAATTAGTGAGCATTTTCCGTTTTGTTTTTGTGACTCTATATATTCAATCTGAAATATATAATTGAGAATTTAATACATTTATGTACAGTAACTTTAAGAAACGAATAATAGGGAAAGCTCATGAAAATTTAGATTGCTTCTTATTGACCTGAGTAAAAGTTCAAATTATTATGATCGCCTCAAAATTATCAGAAAGGTGATTGAATAGGAATGGATTTAGAAATACACTAAAAATGAAAGTTTTTTTACTTGAAAATATATTAATATATTTTTAATACTATATAACAAGGGTTTTTAAATTTGTTCAAATTATTAAAAATTTTCAAATGCATATTAATATTTTGTCATGCTACCCATATTATTTTTTCTATAATGTACTTTTATTCCTTCATCATAATGTCATACTGATATAAATATGTCACATCCACCAGTTGTTGTTTATTTATTGATCACGTGATATGTGCGCAAACAATTACTTAACAATACATAATACACCAAGATTAAAATAGGAGAATACATACTAAACTAGGGGAACATATGTGAGCAAAAACATGCTCGTAAATCATCAATATTAAATCACGCTGTTGGAAATGGACAACCGCAGCACAAATTGACAGCTTCTCATAAATACATACGTCACACTAACACTGGTGATACAGAACAACGTTATCGTTATATCAAAATATAGTCAATTTATCTATCTTTAAAAATCTTCTATAATATTGCGATATATTTGTAATACGTTTTCTCCAAATTACTTTCTTATCACTTATTTTTTAAGAAACTTTACAAATATTTTGAAAGCAAAGCTACTTTATTTTCAACATATTTCTTAATTTCTGCTTGTTGTTCGCAAAATAATTGCAAAATTTGAGAAAGCGAATATGCAGATTAAGACTAAACGACACGAACCTGTCGCTATCCACGTTGCACCTAATCAAACGTCGCGTCTCGAAAAGTATGACAATTTCTGACCCGGAGTTTCAATTTTCCTTCCGGAACGTTGATTACGGTCTGGTTCATTTTACTGGGTCCCCTGTGCGATACCGTGTTTCTAACTTTTTTCATTCGAACAGGATTTCTAGTTCGAACGAGAAGGAGCACGGACCAATCTTTATTGGAACGAAATTCCACCGGTTGGAACAAAGGGAAGTCGAGTCGCTCCAATATGTTGGCGATTCTAAGCCACCGTCGAGATACAATAAGAACGACGACTCGCCGACCGTTGGTATGTTTGCGTGTGTGTGCTCTATCCTTAACGTCGCGCTATGACTTTTTTATTGTTTTCGTCGATAGTGCCTTGGCTATTCGTCTTCGGTGCTAAAGTTGTTTTTCGAGCGCACCGCGACTGCATTCGAATTTTCTGTTTAAGAGTTCGGGAGGAATGCAAACTGCAATCCGACGAACAGTAATTACCATATTTCTTCCACGTCCGTGAAAATACGAGACATCCGTAATGCTTCATTTCCGTTCGGCGCTGAAAGAAAATAGTACTTCCAGCAGGAAGAAGAATTAACTTCTTCTCGCGGCGATAACTTCGCCGTTATTCTAAAAATTCCACGAACTCGGTCTTCCTACGAGTTTGATATATTTTTGTAGGACGCGGTCGTTCGTTAAGGCTACTTTAATTGCACCGTGATACATAGTTGGACGCTACTAGCGAGCATTTTTTCGGTTAGTAGGAAAGGAGAATAAAGTTGGAGAAACTGGTTCGTTCTTCAACGTCCACCAAACGGTGTAGGGGCATTTGACAAGGGAACATCGCGAACTACAGTATTTTCTCTATATAAGCTCGGAACTCGTTCACGATACAGGCAAAAATATAATATATAATCTCCTGCAAACATCCTTAACACTAAACCTACCGACATTTCATGTATACCTAATCCTACCATGAGCGGTCAAATGACCGCTTCAAAAAATTTCCTTGAAAATATTATAAATCGGTGCTCTTCCGCGATTAGACCCTTCTTTTATTTTTTGCCAAACAGTTCCGTCCATAGCAGTTTCAATTCCTTCCTCATTTTCACTTTCGGAACTAACTATAAATCTCTTTCTTTTTTGTCCTCTTCGTATATTCAAAATATTCTCTTCGTCCGTATCGCTGTCAAATAAGTCACAATTATTTTCTGCTGTATCATCATCAAAATCGGAAACTTCTTGGTCATCTTCAGAACAATCCTCGTCGATATTATTTATTTTGTCTAATAAATTGATATTCTTCGAATGTCTTGACATTTTTGGGGATGAATATACAAATGATAAAGTAAAAAGTAAAAACTAAAATATAAAAATATAAATCAAACGGGGCAAAAACATTGAGACCAGAAATAAAAAAAAAATTGTAAATCATACCTCAAAATATTGTTAGCTCTGTTGACTTTGTCGAAACTATCACTTATACCACGTTATAATTTCTATAATACACTTTGAAATTTTGATGCTCCCTGTTCGGATCGCAAGACCGTATTGTCGTATGAAGAACGCTATGCATTTGTTCCAATCGCGCGTTTGTCTACACTGTAGATCCACAATTACCTTGTACACTCGTAAAACAATTTCAGGAGTGCGCTTTCCGAAGAATATAGTCGTAAATAACATGAATTTTTCAAATGGTCAAATGACCGTTCGTGGTAGACTAGATATGCTATAAATTTTTTTCGGAAAGTAAACAATAATGAAAGTTGTGAATATTGAAAAATGGGTTGTATGTATATTATAGGAAAAGTCAATAAGCTACATGGTGATACAGTAACGTTGTATACGAGAAATTCTAAACGAAATTTCAAAAACGGTCATTTGACCGCGCATGGTAGGTTTAGTGTTAAGGGGCCTTTCTACCTTGTGGGATTTAAAAAATCGAATTTTTTTTTGCATTGTCTTTTAGTATGTAGTCTCGAAAATATATCTACCAAATATTAAATTGAAACTCGGAAACCTAACGAAGTTATAGCCTGCTGTAATGTACCACGCGCAGGGATATATAACTGGACGTAAAACTTTAAGTTGCCTTTCTAATTTGTGGGATTTTAAAACCCGAATTTTTTTTTGCAATGTCTTTTAGTATGTAGTCTCGAAAATATATCTACCAAATATTAAATTGAAACTCGGAAAACTAACGAAGTTATAGCCTGCTGTAATGTATCACGCGCAGGGATATATAACTGGACGTAAAACTTTAAGTTGCCTTTCTACTTTGTGGGATTAAAATAATCGAATTTTTTTTGCATTGTCTTTTAGTATGTAGTCTCGAAAATATATTTACCAAATATTAAATTGAAACTCGGAAAACTAACGAAGTTATAGCCTGCTGTAATGTATCACGTGCAGGGATATATAACTGGACGTAAAACTTTAAGTTACCTTTCTACTTTGTGGGATTAAAATAATCGAATTTTTTTTGCATTGTCTTTTAGTATGTAGTCTCGAAAATATATCTACCAAATATTAAATTGAAATTCGGAAAACTAACGAATTTACAGCCTGCTGTAATGTACCACGCGCAGGGATATATAACTGGACGTAAAACTTTAAGTTGCCTTTCTAATTTGTGGGATTTTAAAACCCGAATTTTTTTTGCATTGCCTTTTAGTATGTAGTCTCGAAAATATATTTACCAAATATTAAATTGAAATTCGGAAAACTAACGAAGTTATAGCCTGCTGTAGTGTACCGCGCGTAGGTATAACAACTGGACGTGAAACTTTAAAGTTGTTTTTCTCGAAACTACATTTTCGGCACTGTGTATGTGATAACAGAAAAACTATTCAAGATATCAACAGGAAATTTATACAGTATCTTCAGAACTAGTCTCCCTATAGCATGAACTAGTATAATTGCCATATCTGCAATACTTTTTCTTTTATTAACAAAAAGGCAGTCGAATATATGAAAATATTCAGCATTTCTTCGTAAAATAGCTGCCATTTTGCCATTTGTTGTTCTTTTGAAAAGATCCTAGTTCAGGCTATAACCACACTCATCTATATTAAGAATATCGTTGGTTTTTGGATTTCGGATAACTTGTTCGCAAGATATCACATACGCAGTCGGGCGCCGTTCCTAAAAACTGTTGTTTGTTGATCAACAAAAACAGCGTAATCAATAGATATTATACGTTGCAAAAATTCGTAAATATAGCTAAATATATAATAAATGTATCTACGAAATACGGAATTAATCGCTCTTTAATAGCCCGCAAAAAAAAATCACAAATAAACATGTATTCTGCGTGCCTACAAGGTAGAATGGCCCCTTAAAACCATCTTCAGGAATGGTCCAACAAATCAGGTCTCAAATTATCTCTCCAAAAAACACAATGCATCCTCTTCACCAAAAAAACAAAAAACCAGACTCAACTAAAACTAACTTTGGGAGAAACTGAACTAAAATTTGTGGATCACATTAGACTTCTAGGACTCATCCTGGGCAAGAAACTGACGTGGGTCCCACACATGCGATACCTAAGAAACTCCTGCACGAAAAGACTAAATATAATTAAAGTACTAGCCAACAATAGCTGGGGGGCTGACCAGGAAATACTGTTACAAACATACCGAGCGTTGATACGAGCAAAAATTGACTACGGTTCAACTGTCTTCAACTCAGCAAAGAAACGTACTTTAAAAATAATCGATCCAATTCACCATACGGCACTGAGAATTTCTACGGGCGCATACCACACCTGCCCAATAACTAGCATTCTGTTCGAGGCCAATGAAATGGACCTCGAACAAAGAAGAAAATACTTAACACTCAAATACGCCTAAAAAATTTCCGCCACTCCGAACAACCCGACCTTCAACCGTATCTTCTCTGAAAGATTCAATGAATTATACTCCAAAAAACCAAAGCTCCCACTACCGCTCCGTATCAAACTCAACAAAATCTTGAAACCTCCCATCGAATGGACACCTACCATTGAACGCAAACAAAGTAAAATAGCTCCTTGGACTATTAAGATACCACCCATCAACTTCAACCTAGTGTACCTGCAAAAAAATCAAATAGACCTAACAACACATAAAACCAAATTCCTAAATCTAAAAAACAGCTTCTCCCGCTGTAACCAAATCTACACCGACGCTTCCAAATCCGATTTAGGAGCAGGATACAGCATCGTCACCGAAAATATGACAATAAAACAAAGTCTCCCCAAATTGGTTTCAATCTTTACCACTGAGGCATATGCAATACTTGAAACCCTGAAACATGCCAGCATCAACAACCTTAAAAACGGTGCCATTTTTTCGGACTCGATGAGCGTGATAAAAGCCCTAGAAACCTCAAACAGCAACAATAGCCATGAGATCATAACAAAAATACAGGAAGCATACATAGAATTAGACAATAATTGCAACAGCGACATAAATATTATTTGGATTCCCTCACATCAAGGCATAACGGGAAACGAGGAAGCAGACGCGGCAGCAAAAGAAGCAACAACCCTATCACCAATCGAAACTACCGTTCCGATACCGTATCAAGACCTCATAAACCATATGAAAAAAACTACAAAAGAAGAATGGAACAGAATGTGGACCACAACAAAAAGGTCAAAAATACACGATATAATACAAAACTTCTACCAACCAATTTCTACCTGCAATTTAAATAGGAAAGAAAAGTCCATAATGTCTCGACTAAGGTCAGGCCACACAAAGATAACGCATGAACATCTAATAAAAAAAGCCGATCAACCTTACTGCAGCTACTGCCCCACTGAAACCCTCACAGTAGACCACATTCTATACCAGTGCAGAAGAACCGAACCCCAATGACAGAAATATGGTATAAAACCGGGCACAGCCCTTACAGCTGAGGCCCACATAAGTGACACTATAAAATTTCTCAAAGAAACAAACATGTATAAATATTGATTTTTTTTTATTTGATCTTGAAATCAGAATTAAAGAATGTAATAGAGCTTAACAATTTAAAAACATATCCTTAAACTTTTATTTTGAAATGGGGAGAATAGCAAAGTTATAAAACGTTTTCAAAATTTCATTTAAGTTTCAACACGTTTCTCTCAAAATCTTATTTCTCAGGATTGTCGACAAGATATCTAGAAAATTTCAGAATCGTTTTGTCTAAAATTTTATATAGATATCAGTTTATAGTCCCTGCCAAATTCGCGCTGATATTTTCAAATCCTGATATTTATTAACGCTTCCCAAGATATAAAAAAAAGAATTGGAGCAGTATCGAAATTCTTCTCTAAAATACCGCAATTTCTTTATATTACATTTTTTATATTCCATTTTTTATTTTTTATTTTGATAGAAGCTATAGCCACATTCATATAGTTTAATAATTTATTTGTTTTATTAGTTTCCTATGTATGAAACTACATTGATCATGTCGACGGTAAAAATACTTTTGTTTAAACAGCCGATGCATAGCTCGAAATACCTGTGATATTTATTACAGCACGATAAAAAACAGTCTGACCGTACATCTAAAAGACAATAAATGTGTCTATAAAATTTTATACGCGTATTTCTTTTCATTAAAAAAAGTTCTTAAAGAAATTGTATAATTCGTACCAATGTTTTTAAATTTTCCTATTAAACTGTTCTATTCATATTCAGAAAAGACCATTATTTCTCTGATTACGGATTTTCTGTAGTGCACATTTCCAATAACCACAATATACTATTATACTATTCCATTAGTTCAATAATTCTTGCTATTCATTTCTAATCACATCTGACTCAACACAATTTCATTCTCGTTGTTTTTTAAATATAAATTTCTCGCTACTTTAAAACTGTGTTAATTGTAGCTAAAAAAATTATAAGAATAAAAAATGAAATATACTCTTTCTGTGAGATGATTATGAAATAAATACAATAAAATGAATAGATTTTACTATTCTGTTTTACACGAGAACACTTGTAATACCATATATTGAATATAAACGATGCTTCAATTTATTTCACAATTTTGTAATTGCATATGAGAGGAATGATCTTAAATTTGCGATCAAATGTAACAGAAGATTCTTTATTTCTTGCACATTTATAATCGGCTTATTCATAGCTTCAATTGCTTTCATTTGAACCACAATTTGTTAATGATTCAACGTAACCAACAGTTGGATCCTTTTGCAAAGCCACGTTAGCGGCTTGAATTCCCGGGAATCACGGATCTACATACACATGGAATCGCATATAAATATTCAAGTGGAATCGAATCAAGATGCGCAGCGAACCGTACAAGCATACGATCTGTAT